TAATACAAATATGGAAATTACCAATTCTATAGCATATGACTGATAAAAAGCTATCCTTTCCTTATATGATTTTACAATACAAATAAATTGGAAATGATTTTTTTCAGAATATTCAAATAGCTAAGAAAAAAACTACATTTAAAGTCCTTACTACATCAGAGAGTATAGGGATACAGACCTATAATCCCAATACCTGGGAGGCGATGGTGGAAGGCTGAAAACTCAAGGTGGGTCTGAGCTACATATACGTTCCAAGTCAGTCTAAGCTATATAGTGAATCTTTGTCTCAAAAACAAAAAGTAAAAAAAAAACAAAAAAACCTTTGCTTGGGTACCAGTGGCTCACTCCTGTAATCCTAGCTACTCAAGACACTAATATCTGAGGATCACAGTTCAAAGCCAGCACAGGCAGGAACATCTGTGAGACTCATCTCCAATTAACCACCAGAAAACTGGAAATGGCACTGTGGCTCAAGTGGTAGAGTACTCACCTTGAGCTGAAGAGCTCAGGAACAGTGCCCAGGCCCAGACTTCAAGACCCACAACTAATAAAAATAAAAAAACAAACTTTATGTTGAGTGCCAAAAGCTCATGCCTATAATTCTAGCTATTTAAGAAGGTGAGAATAAAAATTCAAAGCAAGGGGCTGGGAAGGTGGCTCAGTGGTAGAGTGCTTGCCTTGCATGCCTGAGGCCCTGGGTTCAATTCCTCAACACCACATAAGAAAAAAGAAAAAAGCCAGAAGTAGCGCTGTGGCTCAAGTGGTAAAGCGCTAGCTTTGAGCTGAAGAGCTAAGGGACAGCACCCAGGCCCAGAGTTCAGGCCCCACAACTGGACCCAAAAAAAAAAAAAATTCAAAGCAAGCCTTAACAGGAAGGCCTAAGATTCTTATCTCCAATTAACCAGCAAAAACCAGCAGAAGGGGCTGGGAAGGTGGCTCAGTGGTAGAGGCTTGCCTTGCATGCATGAGGCCCTGGGTTCCTCAGTAGCACATAAGCGAAAAGAAAAAAGCCGGAAGTGGTGCTGTGGCTCAAGTGATAGAGCGCTAGTCTTGAGCTGAAGAGCTGAGGGACAGCACCCAGGCCCAGAGTTCAGGCCCCATGACTGGACCAAAAAAAAAAATAAAAAAATAAAAAAAATAAAACCAGCAGAAGTAGAGGTATGGTTCAAGTAGTAGGGCACCAGCCTTGAGCAAAAAGCTAAGGGGCAGTGTCCAAGCCCTGAGTTCAGCTCCAGTACTGGACAAACAAAAAACAAAAACAACCTTAATATGATTGCACAAGAAAATGAGAATTATACATGAAAATACTAAAGAAAAATATAGGGCTAATATAGTACATATTATTGAAATGGAAAAAATAAGCAGGCATTTCACTCCTTAATCAAATAATTATGAAAATAGAAAACCAAGAATTTTGCCATAACAATTGAATATAAATATCAACATTGTCAGAGGTGACATCTTTCTAAATAAAAGCCATACTTACATTTTCCTACCAAAATCTACTAGAGGCACCAGCACCTGCTGGTGGCTCAGACCTATAATTCTAGCTACTTGGGAGGTTGAGATCTAAAAGTCATGGTTTGAAGCCAGCCCTGGCCAAGAAAGTCCTTGAGATTCTTATCCCCAACAAACTACCAAAAAAGCTCGACATGGCGCTGTGGCTCCACTAGCATTAAGAAAAATCTCAGGGAGATGGGCACTGGTGGCTCACACCTGTAATCCTAGCTACTCAGGAGGCTGAGATCTGAGGATCACAGTTCAAAGCCAGCCCAGGCAGGAAAGTCCAAGAGAGTTTTATCTCCAATAAACCACCAGAAAACCAGAAGTGGCACTGTGGCTCAAGTGGTAGAGCACTAGCTTGAGCTGAAGAGCTGAGGAACAGTGCCCAGGCCCAGAGTTCAAGCCCCATGACCAACAAAAAAACAAACAAGAAAAGCTCAGGAAGCTGTGGCTCAAAGTGGTAGAGTGCTAACTAGCCTTGAGCCACAGAGCTCAAGAACAGTGCCTGGTTCTGAGTTTAAGCCCTATGACCAACCAAAAAAAGAAAAGCTCAGGACAACATAAAGGTCAAGTTCAAGCCTCAGGACAGGCACAGGTATAGGCACAGGGACAGACACACAGACACACACACAGACACACACATACAAAACTATAATGTCATATTTTAATGTTTTAATGTCACAAATTTAAAAGTGAATATTATTCAAAGTAGGTAATTTTAAACTTAAAATGAAAAAAAAACATCAGGTACTTGATTAAAGTCACTAAAATTACCAAGAAAAATCAGAGTAAAGGATGCTAGGCACTGATGACTCAAGCCTGTAATACTAGCTACTGAGGCTGAGATTTGAGGATTAAGGTTCAAAGCCAGCCTGGGAAGGAAAGTCTATGAGACTCTTATATCCAATAAACCACTCAGAAAACCGGAAGTGGCTCTGTGGCTCTATGGCTCAAGTGGTAGAGTGCCAGCCTTGAGCTGAAGAGTTCAGGGACAGCGCCCAGGCCCAGAGTTCAAGCCCCACAACCCCCCCCCACCCCCACACACAGAGTAAAGGAATCTTCCTGATGATTTAGCAATCCTCCAAATTGTGGCCAATTTTCTCTCTAGAATCATAAAAGAAATATCAGACTAGACAAAGAATATGATAGCAACTTAATGGAACCTAATCACCAAAAAATGAATACAAAAATAAATTTTTCCATTTCTGCCTTCATTTCCCTCTAGAGTGTGTGTGTGTGTGTGTGTGTGTGTGTGTGTGTGTGTGTGTGTGTGTGTGTGTGTGTGTGCGCGCGCGCGTGCGTGCGTGTCTGAGGCTTTATCTCAGGGCCTCTCACACAGCTTTTTCACTCACAGCTGACCTGCTATCACCTAAGCCACATCCCCAGGCTAGTATTCTGCTTATGGAGATGGAGTATCCAAGGAACATTTTTTGCCTTGGATGATTTCAAACCTCATGCCTCCAGGTCTTAGCCTCCTTGGTAGTTATGATGATCTGTTTCTGACTTACAAGTGAAACACATTTTTTAACATTTTAAATCCAAAAACCATAATAACAATATAACCCTCCCTCCTTTTTTTGTCAGTCATGGGGCTTGAACTCATGACTGGGCATTGTCCCTGAGCTCTTTTGCTGAAGGCTAGTGCTTAATCATGTGGAGCCATAGTGACACTTCTGGTGTTTAATCCGAGATAAGAATCTCATAGACTTTCCTGCCTAGACTGACTTTGAACTGCGATCCTCAGATCTCAGCCTCCTGAGTAGTAAAGATTACAGGTGTGAGCCACTGGTGCCTGGCTCTCCTTATTTTTATAGGGAAAAAAATTATGGTTCATAACATTATCAACATTTTATCAGTTGTCAAAAAATTTCAGATGTAAAAAATAACTTTAATGACCATTAACATTTCTTTGATGACTCAGAATGGTCTCAAGACTATCACTGTGAGGATGTATTTTCTCTATAAATTTCAAAGCCCCTTTTAGGGCTTATGGACTCACAGTTGAGTTTGCTGAATTCATATAAAAGAGAAACTTCTACTTCTTGCCATGAGAACTGCTGATAAGAAAAGCAATCAAAAAAAGAAACCAGCCGGGCGCTGGTGGCTCACGCCTGTAATCCTAGCTACTCAGGAGGCTGAGATCTGAGGATCACGGTTCAAAGCCAGCCCAGGCAGGAGAGATTGTGAGACTCCTATCTCCAATAAACCACCAGAACTCTGGAAGTGGCGCTGTGGCTCAAGTGGTAGATCGCTTGCCTTGAGCTGAAGAGCTGAGGGACAGCGCCCAGGCCCAGAGTTCAAGCCCCACAACCGACAAAAAAAAAAGAAAACCAAAGGTAAAATCCATATTAAAACTGAAATTCTAATTTCAATCCAGCTAATTAAAATGGTATAAATGGTTGTATTACTTTGTTGCTCTCATAAAAGTTGCAATATTTTCTAGAAAAGTCTTCCCTACTGCTTTGTGTTAATTTGCTTTGATTATGAATTATTAGGCCTATTCAATATGCTAGCAACCCTTAAAAGCATTCTGAGGCACTATGCCATGATAGAAAGAAATGGTAGTAATAGCTGATAACAGGACTAAGAGAATTGAACCTCTAACATTTGTTACTATGCAGAGAAGGTATACAGTCATTTGTAGCCACTACTGTACAACAGATGACATGCCAGGCTATGAGTTGATTAGGAGTGGTAGAGCTAATTAGTTAATTATAGTAAATCACAAGATCAGTTTTAATAAAAAGATCATTATTTGTAAAATTCCAAAGAAAGTTTTAATGACCTAGTGAAAATTACATATGAAAATGAATTCAGAGACTAATGCTTCCTTAAGAATATTATCCTCACTAGACACCATTTTGAAAATGAACTATACAACTTGTGGATGGGGACAGAAGGGAAAAACTGGGTGAGAGCAAGGGAAGGGGTGACAGTGTCCAAAAAGAAATATACTCATGACCTGACTTACATAACTGTAACCCCTTTGTATATCATCTTTATAATAACAATTAAGAAAATTAGAAAAAGAATGTTATCATCCGGACATCTGGCTCTTTCCAACTTATCTACATGGGATACTGGGAAGTAGAACCTGAAAAGCCCAGTTTCTCTGTGTGTGTGCATGTGAGTGTGAGTGTGTGTGTGTGTGTGTGTACATGCACCTAAGCGTGCGCATGGGTGCTTGAACCAAAGACCTTGAACTCTCAGCTTTTTTTGCTCAAGGTGGGTGCTCTATCACTTGAGCCATACCTCCACTTCCAAACTCCTACCTTACTGCCATGCCTTCTACTGCCAATCATTCTAAGGAATCAGGTTGAGAATTTTAATTGCATAAATCTGACTTGGAAGTAGAGGTTGAGCAAGTGCAATCTGGAGAAGACTCTCAAAATAATATACACATTTCATAAAAGCATGAGCTTTAATTTTAAAAAAAATCTATTACCAGCAGAAAGGACAAAGCCTCAAAGGAAAATTAAGAACTTGTAAGACTTTACCCATTTACTGTATTTCAAAGGTCCTGTAAATCCCATGGCTTCTATTATCTTTGTGAAGATTCCAACCTTTTCCTCCACAGGCTGTGGGAAATCTTTGATCGTAGGAAGCTATTTAATCAAAGAGAAATAAACTAAAATTAGTTGCAAAAAATTTCATTTTTCTTTTTGTGGTACTGGATTTTTTTTTTTTTGGTCCGGTTATGGGGCCTGAACTCTGGGCCTAGGTGCTGTCCCTCAGCTCTTCAGCTCAAGGCTAGCACTCTACCACTTGAGCCACAACGCCACTTCCAGCTTTTTTCTTTTTGCTTATGTGGTACTAAGGAATTGAACCCAGGGCCTCACACATGCAAGGCAAGCGCACTCCCACTGAGCCACCTTCCCAGCCCAGTGGTACTGGATTTTGAACTCAGGAAAATGAAAGAAAAATATTGCCTAGAAGCAGGCAAAAGTCATCTAAAACAAAAAGTACCAATTGAATGATTTTTATGTTCATATATTCTGTTGGTTTATTACTTACCATCTTTGGGAACTTTAGGCAAGTCATCTTCTACATTTGCTTAAACTCCTTGCCTCATCTAACTCACAATTTTTTTGAGAACCAAATAAGATCTGTCTGAAAGCATTTGATAAACCTAGAAGTACAAAGAAATCTCACCTTATTTGGGGTATAATACTTCCTGCTCTGTTGTACATCTATTCCTGGAATCTCTTCTGCTCCACTGCAGGTTTGGGATTGGCTCATCTGGGGCCACTGAGAGATGAAAAACAGATGTAAGAAACACTGGACACCTGAGCATGTCTCAAGTGATAGAGCACCCACCTAGCAAGGGCAAAGTCAAGCTCTACAACAGACAAAGAAAAATGAAAGGAGAAAAGGACTTACTACCCTGAGATACCACCTTACCCCAGTCAGAATGTCCCACATCCACAAATCAGCCAACGACAAATGCTGGAGGGGATGTGGAGAAAGAGGAACCCTATTATACTGCTGGTGGGAATGTACACCTATACAACCACTTTGGAAAGCAGTCTGGAGGGTCCTTAGAAAGCTAAAGATTGACCTCCCTTATGACCCAGTCATACCACTTCTAGGCATCTACCCTGAACAACAGGAACCAATCAATATACAAGGACACGTGCACCTCCATGCTTATTGCAGCACTGTTCACAATAGCTAGGATATGGAAACAACCCAGATGCCCTACCACAGATGAATGGATCCAAAAATTTTGGTATCTATACACAATGGAATATTATGCAGCCATTAGAAATGACAAAATAATGGCTTTGCAGGGAAATGGATGGGGCTAGAAGGAATCATGTTGAGTGAGATAAGCCAAGAGCAAAGAGACAAACGGTACATGGTCTCCCTGATAAGTGGATGCTAAATCCAAAATGTTAGGTGATACGACAAAACTAACAGAACTCAAGAAACAAAGAACTCCCACTCATCTGGTCGAACCACTACTAACTATCCCCATGCTGCTGATCATATGTATGGTATATATGTGTACACCGTTACATGTTATAGACTGTGATAGACAATTTGCTCCAGGAAAGTTAGAATGAACTTGTGACTTTAAATGAGCATCATTATTCTACAACACTGAGAAATCTGGGAAATTATGTAATCACTTAATCACAATCAAAAAAAAAAAAAAAAGAACCTCGGGGAAGGTAGGGAGGGAAGGGATGGTAGGAGGAAAACAATGGAGGGGGTAACAATGCCCAATAGGAAGTGTACTCATTACCTTACTCATATAACTGTAACTCTCTGTATAGTATCTTTACAATAAAAAAAAAGGACTTACTTATGTAAAGTGCTTCTTACAAAAAAAGATAATAAATAGAAGTTTCCATTCACCATCATTGCCTTTCATGTTCACACTTCATCAGAAGTAATTTGGCAATATAATAGCCACTATTATAAATAACATATATTATATACTTATATTAATAAGTAATTTTAATCTTCACTCCAACTATTAGTTTGGTGGGGATTGTTTGTTTGTTCTGCCTGTCCTGGGGCTTGAACTCAGGGGCTGGGTGCTGACCCTAAGCTGCTTTTGTTGAAGGCTAACACTCTACCAATTGAGCCAGAGCTCTACTTCTGGCTTTTTTAGTAGTTTATTTGGTAGTTTACTTCCTTCCCAGGCTCACTTTGAACCACAATCCTAGATTTCAGCCTTCTGAGCTACTGTCACCTGGCTAGATTGGAGATTTTACCATTAAGAATCTTTTGTTTTTGTTTTAGTATTGCTGTAGTGGGCCTTAAACTCAAGGTCTAAGGCTAGCTCATCTTTTATTTTTTTTCTTTTTCTTTTTCTTGGTCAGTCATGGGGCCTGAACTCAGGGTCTGAGCACTGTCCCTCAGCTCTTCAGCTCAAGGCTAGCGCTTTACCACTTGAGCCCACAGAACCACTTCCAGCTTTTTCTGTGTATGTGGTGCTGAGGAATCGAACCCAGGGCCTCATGCATGCAAGGCAAGCACTCTATCACTGAGCCACCTTCCCAGCTCCTCATCTTTTTTCACTACAGCTGGTGCTCTATTACTTGAGCCTCACTGGATTTGCCTGCCTAGCTTGGCTTTAAACATCAATCCTTCTTGAGTAGATAGGATTATAGGCAAATACATTGTTTTGAGAAAAAAATTCCTAAAGAAAAAAACATATGCAAGACATCTTCACTGTAGGATTACTCAGAAGAGTGAAAACTGAGAGAAATGACCAAGACAGACATGGTTAATTAAGGTAGAATCCCTCAATAGTCAGATAACCATTAGGTTGTTTATTTGCTTGTCTGGTGCTAGGTCATATCCAGGATCCTGAACTTATTAGGGAACCCCACTACCTTTTTGTCTTTTGCTTTTAAAAAGATTCTGAAAATTAGAGGTCCTTTGGATATGAGAGATGGGGGCAGGAACAAACTCAAGCTGTTCTTATGTGTCTTTCTTTATAATTAAAAAACAACCTCTATAAGCTCCACTAGGACACGATGCAATTACACTTCTTTTATTTTCTGCCCCAATTCTCAACACCATTCTGGGCATGGAGTTGGTACTCAATAAAAACTAGGTGGATACTTTTACTATTTTTTTTTTTCAAAGAGAAGGACAACCTGGAGAAGTTCCAAATAAGAACCACAGGAATGATCAAAGGGATGAATAAAAGGTCCTAGTGGAAAGATTAAAATGAATTGAGGCTGTTTAGTTTGGAGAAAAGGCAACTAAAGAATTAAGGAGTAACTTAGAATAACACTTGAGCTGGAAGTAATCTCAGAGATCTTCTAGTCCAACCTTTTCACTTCACAGATGAGGAAACTAAAACCAAGGGAGAGGTTGCAACTAAATGAAGGTAGTTTTAGGACAATTTTTATTTAAGTTCCACTTTATTCAGTGAGAAGAAAATCTGCTCATGGCATGAATGTTAAGTAAAAACAAAGATGGCGGTTACAACTTATTATTGCATAGCTCCTATGTGTCTACCGGGTAAATGCTTATGTCTTAGATGACCTCACAACAATCTTGTAAAGCAGATGCTGCTGTTTCTTTCCCATCTTGAAGACTGGGGCAAAAGGCTCAAGGTAGCGTTAAGGAGTAAAATATATATTTAAAATTATGCCTATTCCAAGCCAGGCACTGGTGGCTCACGCCTATAATCCTACCTACTCAGGAGGCTGAGATCTGAGAATCACAATTCAAAGCCAGCCCAGGCAGGAAAGGCCATAAAACTCTTTTTTTTTTTAAAGAGGTTCACTTTATTTATTTAATTTACTTAATCTATTTTTTTTGGTCAGCCATGGGGGCTTGAACTCTGTCCCTTAGTTTTTCAGCTCAAGGCTAGCGCTCTACCACTTGAGCCACAGTGCCACTTCCGGCCTTTTCTGCTTATGTGGTGCTGAGGAATCAAACCCCGGGACTCATGCATGCAAGGCAAGCACTCTCCCATGGAGCCACCTTCCCAGCCCTGCCATGAAACTCTTATCTCCAATAAACCACAAGAAAATGGGAAATGGCACTGTGTCCCAAGTGGTAGAGAGCTTGCCTTGAGCTGAAGAGCTAAGGGACAGTGCCCAGGCCCAGAGTTCAAGCCCCACAACCGAAAAAAAAAAAAAAAAAAGTCTATTCCTATACCACATTACTTCAAAAAACAGAGTAGACTTCAGGTCCAGGCACACTAGCACCCACAATCTAATTTGTTTGGGCTTTATTTGTTTGGTTTGGTTTGGTTTTGGGAGTTTAGGAATCAAACCCTGGGCCTCACAATACTAAGCAAGTACTCTACCATTCTACAGCTAAGCCACAGAGGTTGAGGGCTTTCCAGCCAACACATCTTGCTTTCTAAATAACGTTCTCCAATAAAAGAAATGAAGGCTCCTTGGAGAAATTACTGAATCTAGAGCTAGAGCAATGAAAACACAACATGAACCCAACATACTTTGTAGTGCCAGGAAATAAGGGAGGTTCAAAAAATAATAGGAGTACGGATACAGAAAGAAACTTAAAGGAGTTCTCAATAACCCAAACTGGGACAATATGATCAACAAAATACCTAATCAGAAAATGCATTCTAACTCATGGGAGAAAAGAGTTCATACTGACATAAATAAATAATTGAGGAAATAAACAAATGGGGAAGAAGAGACAACTCTTCCTAACACAAGAATTCCAATCAAAGCCAGGTGTGGGGGCTGGGAAGGTGGCTCAGTGATAGAGTACTCGCCCTGCATACATGAGGCCCTGGGTTCAATTCCTTAGCACCGCATAAGCAGAAAAAGCTGAAGTGGCTCTGTGGCTGAAATGGTAGAGCACTAGCCTTGAGCTGAAGAGCTCAGGAACAGTGCTTAGGCCCAGAGTTCAGGATCATGACAGACAGACAGACAGACAGACATAAATTAAATAAATAAATAAATGTAGTGAAAAAGGGCTGGGAATGTAGCTTAGTGGTAGAGTGCTTGCGTAGCAGGCACAAAGCCTTGGGTTCAATTCCTGAGTACCACATAAACAGAAAAGGTCAGAAGTGACAGTGTGGCTCAAGTGGTAGAGTGCTAGGCTTGAGCAAAAGCATGACAGTACCCTGATTTCAAGCCCCAGACCTGACAAAAAAATAAATAAATAAAGGTTCAGGGACAAGGCCTAGACCAAGGGGCAGGATGTAGGAAAGGTGGAAAGAGAAAATCACCAATAGGCAAAAGCCTTGTATAAGTGTTGCAGTCAAGAACTGAAAATCCTTTGTACAACTACTTAAAAGTTAAAAAAAAAAAAAAGAAGAATCAATGGAAGTATTGTAAAATACAGCAATCCAATTTTGAGTATATATCTAAAAGAATTCAAAGATGACTCTCAAAAGAGATATTTACACACGGTTATTACAGCCAACTCATGTTCATATAAGCCAAGAGTAGAAGCAACTCAAATGTTCACTGAATCAACTGAATAAAGAAAATATGATCTATGATTATCAGGCTTCTTTTTTTTTTTTTTTTTTTTGGTCAGTTGTGGGGCTTTAACTCTGAACCTGGGCACTGTCCCTGAGCTCTTCAGCACTCAAGGTGAGGGCTCTACCGCTTGAGCCACAGTGCCACTTCCAGTTTTCTGGTGGTTGATTGGAGATAAGAATCTCAGGGACTTTCCTGCCCCGGCAGGCTTTGAACCGTGAACTGTCTCCTGAGTAGCTAGGATTATAGGCGTGAGCCACCAGTGCCCAGCTTATTAGGCATTTTTTAAATGAAGGTATCTGGATTAGTGTTGGTATACTCCTGTACTCCATTCTTGAGCTGGTCTCAAACTGAAAATACCAAAAGGAAAAGGAAATACCAAAACACGTATAAGAATCATTAACATGACTTGGAAAAGGCTGGGTACTAGCGGCTTATATCTGTAATCTTAGCTATTCAGGAGGCTAAGACCTGAGTATCATAGTTCAGAGCTGAAGGTCTCTGAGACATTTGCCTCCAATTAAACAGCAAAAAGCCAAAAGTAGAGCTGTGGCTTAAGTAGTAAATTGCCAGCCTTGAGTGAAAAAGCTAAGGGTCAGTCCCAAGCCTGAGTTCAAGCCCAAACACACACACACACACACACACACACACACACACACACACACACACACACACACACACACACACACACACACACACACACACACACACACACACACACACACACACACACACACACTAAAAGGCTTTTGGGGGAAGGGCAGTAGTGGCATTTAAACTCAGGGCCTTTACTTGCTATATCAACACTATACCATTGAAACATACCTCTAGCCCCCAAAAAAGGCTTTCTAAACATTAATAATGCCTACTCTAATAAGTGAAAAGGCACCAGAATATAAAATTCTGTATATAGTTGTTAAGGTACTTAAGGAGAAAATTGGCATATACTCACACATACATACATAAAAGCCAGAAAAGAACCAGTAGAAATAAAAATATTGATGTTTTCAGATGTGACGTCATAGGTGATTTTTATTTCCTTTATTACAAAAGTTATTTGTATGACTAATGATAAAACCTCTCAGAGGGCCTAAAGTTAGCTACACTGTAATGAATCATATGTTGGTGGTAAATTAAGGCCTCCACTAATTGTTTCTTGATTTTCCCTTCATAACAGGAAAAAAAAAATTTAAACCCAAATAAAAGATACATTCATTGGGGGTAGGGAATTCAGGAGAGGAAAAACTGGGAGAAAATGAGGAAGGGAGTGATACTGTTAAAAAAGAAATGTACTCATTATCTGACTTATAAACTGTAACCCCTCTGTACATTACCTTTACAATAAAATAATAATATAGCATACAGTAAAATAGTCACATACAGTAGCCAAAAGGAAAACTGAGGGGCTGGGAAGGTGGCTCAGTGGTAGAGCGCCTGCCTTGCATGCATGAGGCCCTGGGTTTGATTCCTCAGCACCACATAAGCAGAGGAAAAAAAGCCGGAAGTGGTGCTGTGGAGCTGAGGGGCAGTACCCAAGCCCAGAGTTCAGGCCCCATGACTGACAAAAAAAAAAAAAAAAGGAAGGAAGAAAGGGAAGGAAGGAAAGAAAGGAAGGGAGGGAGGGAGGGAAGGAGGGAGGAAGGAAACAAAACTGAAAAAAAAAGTTAACTCTGAGATGAATATTTGGAAAAACTCCCTAACAGTAAAAACCATCAGACTGTAACAAGGTCTCTTAGACTAAGTTCCACTGTGGGGACCTACAGAAGCAATGCTCAGACACCATACTGCAGGAATCAGTCCTGCCCTGGTACCAGAGAGACCCAGAGCAGTCTCATGAAGTTTTTCCACTTTCCTTTCCAACACAATTTGGTTGGCTAATCTATAAATATATGACATTTGCACATAAACACTAAGGTTTTCATACTAAGCAAAGGAACAACAAATCTTACCTGGGAAGTGCCAGACAGAGTCCTGCCCCACTGTCCTTGAATAGGACACACTGGAAACAATCTGCTGCATACTGGAACCCACTGGGAAATGTTGGTGTAGTTCCTCTAGAAAAAGAAAAACATGGTTAGTAATCTCTAGCAGACTCAGTACAGTGTACCTGTGACACTGTGACAAAGTATGAAATATGCATTCATAACTACTTGCTGAAATAGAGCTTCTAAAATCCTGCTGAGATGAAGGTGACCCTTAGAGGAGAGGGAACTAGCTGGTTGCCACGGGAACAAATGATGCAAGGAGAGGGTGGAATTCTCAATATTGAAGCTTCACAATCACCACAAAGTGGCCTAGATATATTGATAATACTTCACTTATATTGCAGAAACATTTCCCAATGTCAGAGTTAATAAACATCTGCTTTACAACAGGAAACCCAGTGATCCAACTCCAGAATCCACTTTTTTTTTTTTTTTTTTGTCGGTCATGGGGCTTGAACTCTGGGCCTGGCCACTGTCCCTGAGCTCTTCAGCTCAAGGTGAGCACTCTGCCACTTGAGCCATAGTGCCACTTCCAGTTTTTTTAGTAGTTTATTGGAGTCTAATGGACTTTCCTGACTGGGCTAGCTTTGAACCGTGATCCTCAGATCTCAGACTCCTGAGTAGCTAGGATTACAAGTGTGAGCCACTGGCACCCAACTGAATCCATATTCTTTTATAGAATGAAAGGGTAAAGGGATTATCTCCAAAGTTTCTTCTAGATCTAACACTACAGATAAATTCACTGGTAGAGTCTGGAGCAATTAAAACATACACATGGAGTCAGAAAACACTGAGTTTGGGGGAAATAGCGCTGTAGCTCAAAGTGGTAGAGCACTAGCCTTGAGCCAGAGCTCAGGGTCAGTGCCCAGGCCCTGAGTTCAAGGCCCCAGACTGACAAAAACAAAAACAAAACCACGGAGTTGACTGTTGGCTAAAAATCAACCTCTATGAAGCGTGGTGGCCTTTCCTATATAAAATAAAATCACTACTTTCCACGATTAAAAAAAAAAACAAGCCGGGCGCTGGTGGCTCACGCCTGTAATCCTAGCTACTCAGGAGGCTGAGATCTGAGGATGGCGGTTCAAAGCCAGCCTGGGCAGGAGAGACGGTGAGACTCCTATCTCCAATAAACCACCAGAAAACCGGAAGTGGCGCCGTAGCTCAAATGGTAGAGCGCTCGCCTTGAGCGAAGAGCTAAGGGACAGCGCCAAGGCCCAGAGTTCAAGCCCAGTGACCGACAAAAAACAAACAAACAAACAAACAAACAAAAATGTACTCCCCAGTGTGCCTAACTCCTTATTAAGCTGAATTTAATCTCCATCCTTCTTGGTAGTCAGAGTGAGGTAGGGAAAGGCATTAGAATTCTACCTACAGATACTAAGACTTACTAAGGTGTTTCAGAGTTATAAAACTATATAACTTTTTATAATAAGTCATTCATAGCACTTTTTATTTCAAATGAAAAATAAAAGCTGGGTGTGTTCACTCACATCTATAATCCAAGCTATGATCTGGATGCTGAGGCAGCCTGGACTATGTAGTGAAACTGTCTCAAAAAAATAAATAAACAAAAAGTAAAGCTAAAAATACTTTTTCCAACTGAGGTTTGATCTGGTGAAATTGTTTCCAAGTAAGAGATAGTTACTTATGTTTTATTAATGACAGATTTACCAGAATCACTCAATGGCAGGTGTTCCTTTCCTAAAATATAAATATAAGTTGAGATTAAAAAAAACTTTTACAGAGTCAGAATGGAAGCAGGAAGAAATTACAAGTAGAAATAATGCAAACTTAGAAAAAAAATTCTTAAGAATTTCATCATGTTATTTCCAATGTCAACAAAATCTTTCTCTGTTTTTAGCTCTATGTGGTGTCAGGCCAATACTTGAAACTAGTTTGTATTAGAAGAAAGGAGTAATCAGCAGTGTTCTTTCCCTCTCCAATCCCACAGTAATTCTTGTCCAAATCCTTCACTGAAACTGCTGAGGTACAGTGGAACGATGCTTGAACCCAAGCTTGTCATTAAATAGCTATGTAACCCTGAACTACTTAACAGTCAGGTCTCCATTTACCCATCTGACAAAAAGAAATAGTAAAAACTACCTCACAGGAGTGTTCCAAGGAACTTTTTTTTTTTCCTGGCAGTTCTGAGCTTTGAACTCAGGGCTTCATGTTCACTTTACTGGCACTCTACCACTTGAGCAATACTACCAGCACTGCTTTTTAACAATTAACTTACTTTAGTGCTATTATAAAAGTGATAAAAAGGATTATAATTATGTGAGTCAGGTAATGAGTATACTTTCTTTCACACAGTGTCTCTTCTGTTCTTGCATTCTCTCCCAGTCCCTCCCTCCTGTCTCCATCTACAAGTTATATAGTTCACTTTCTTCAGTGTCCCACAAGTTCCCACACACCCCAACACTGCTTTCTGTTGAGTATTTTGGAGCTGGATGCTTGAGAACTTTTCTTCCAGGAGTGCTTTCAAACCTACATCCTCTGGATCTCAGCCTCCTAAGCTAAGATTATAGGTGCAAACCACCAGTGCCAGACCCCAAGGAAAATTTCTTTTGTGTGTATGGGTGGGAAGTTGCTGGGGCTTGAACTCAGGGCCTGGGCACTTTCCCTGAGGTCTTTTGCTCAAGACCAACACTCTACCACTTGAGCCACAGTTCCACTTCAGGCTTTTTGTGGTTAAGTGGAGATGAGTGAGTGTCTCATGGACTTTCCTACAAAGGCTAGCTTTGAACTATGATCCTCAGATCTCAGCCCCCTGAGTAACTAGGATTACAGGCATGAACCACTGGCACCTGGCAGCATTATTATGATAGTGAACAACTCATTACTGATATATATAAGCATACCACCATAGCAGAAAGAATCATTTTCTTTAAAATACTGGGTTTTTGTGTTTAAGTTCCTGCAAGCCTCTGAACACATTTTTGTCAACTAATCAATACACAACCTTGTTTTGTATATCTTTTGTTGAAACATGCCTTACTTAATATTCTGATCTCCCAGCCACCAGCAAATCACATACCTAATAAAGGGTTAATATCCAAAATGCATAAATAACACTAACACCAAAACCAACTTAAGTAAAGGATAGACAAAAAAATTGGACATTTCTCTAAAGGTATCTAATAAGGCCATGAAAAGATGATCAACACCACTAGTCATCAGGAAGCTACAAATGGAAAGAAAGCACAATGAGTTATCATTTCACACCCACTAGAATGGCAGTTATCAAAAACAAGGCTAAGCAGGCCCTGGTGGCTCATACCTGTAATCTTAACTATTCAGGAGGTTGAGATCTGAGGACCGTGGTTCAAAGTCAGCCCAGGCACAAAAGTCTGTGAGACTCTTATCTCCAACTAAATCACAGAAAAAAAAAGTGGTGCTGTGGCTCAAGTGGCAGAGCACTAGCCTTGAGCTGAAGAGCTGAGAGACAGCGCTCAGGCCCAGAGTTCAGGCCCCACAACCAGACCAAAAAAAATAAATAAATAAACAAGCTAGACATGGTGGTACATGCTTATAATCCCAATACTCAGATGGCTAAGGTAAGAGGATTATGAGTCTGAGGCCATCCTGGGCTACAAACAAGCCAGCAACTCCATTACTGAGTATATACCTAAAAGAAGTGAAAGTAGGGACAGAAACACTCATGTTGATGTGGAATCAACCAAATGATCAATAAAAAGATCAATTTGGTACACACAAGCAATGCCATTCAACATGGATGAACTTTGAGACCAGTCCCAAAAAGTCAAACAAACACTGTAAAGTCCACTTATGTGGAACCACCTATACAGTAAACCCAGAGACAAAAGTAGAATGTGGTTACCAGAAGCTGGGAAAAGTAAACTTATGCAAGTTACATGTTTTACAGAAGGACCTATTTTTCAATAGGTCCAGAATTCTACAGATGAAAAGAGTTATGTGGATGATGGTAATGGCAGCACCATGACAAGTGAAAGTACTTAATGCTACAGAATTGTACCTGTAAAAATGGTTTAAAAGATAAAAAACAGGGGTGAAAGTGTAGCTCAAGTGGTAGAATACTTACCTACCAAATCTGAGACCCTGAGTACAAACCCTAGTACTGCCAAGAAAAAGGGAGGGGGCAGAAACCACTTTAAGTAGTAGTACTAGGGTTTATTGTGTGTGTTTGTGTGTCTTGTTTTTGTTTTTGTCAGTTGTGGGTCTTGAACTCTGGACCTGGGCACTGTCCCTGAGCTCTTCAGCTCAAGCCTAACACTTTACCACTTGAGCCACAGTGCCACTTCCACTTTTCTGAGTGTTTTACTGGAGAGTCTCACAGACTTTCCTGCCCAGGCTGGCTTTGAACTGTGATCCTCAGATCTCAGCCTCTCGAGTAGCTAGGATTACAGGTGTGAGCCACCGGCACCCGGCTAGTACTAGGGTTTTTAATTCAGAGCCTTGTGCTCACTAGGCAGGGACTTTGCTTGAGTTATACCCCATTTTTTGCTTTGGATATTTTTGAGACAGGGTCTCAAAATTTTCCCCAGACTCACCTGAACCACAATCTTCCTATTTATGCTTCAAAAGTATCTGTGATGATAGTTACATACCACCATGCCCAACTTTTTATTAATTGAAATGAGAAAATTTCAGAAATTTTTGACCAGTCCATCCTCTACCCTTTGTCTTCCACACCTCTACCTCGAAAGCAGACTTTTAGACATGAGCCACTGTACCTGGATAAACTTATCAGGTGATCTGATCACCAACCCTAACACCCTTACTGATCAAGAACATTGGAAGCTCAGGAAAGTTATATAATTTGCTCATGGTTCCACTTGTAGGAAGTAAAGCCAACTTGTCCACTAAATATCTTTACTCTTAAAGCAATACACTTTACTATATCACTAAACTCTTCAGTACTTAGCCTAAATGCCTCTTCAGAGTAAGTGAACAAAAACCTGCTGTTTTCATGTTTACTGCCACTTTCAACTAGTCCTAAGGGACTTTCAATATTCCAACACAACTTACATTATAAGGTCTGTTAAGACAACCTGAGGAAAACAGAGAAAAGTAAAAGAGATTTTCCTTACCCAATACTGCACTGTATAAAAGATTCAACAGCCAGGTGGCTCATGCCTGTAATCCTAGCTACTCGAGAGGCTGAGATCTGAGGATCACAGTTCAAAGCCTGCCCATGCAGGAAAGTCCATGAAACTCTTATTTCCAATAAACCACTCAGAAAACTGGAAGTGGCACTTAGCTCAAGTGGTAGAGAACTCACCTTGAGCTGGAGAGCTGAGGGACAGCTCCCTGGCCCAGAGTTCAAACCAAACGACCGACAAAAAAAAAATTAAAATAAAAATAAGATCCAACTAGCCAGGCACCAGTGGCTCATGCTTATAATTCTAGCTACTCAGGCAGCTAAGAACTGAGGATCACAGTTCAAAGCCAGCCCAGGCAGGAAAGTCTGACATTCTTATCTCTAATTACATACCAAAAGTGGAATTAAACACCAGTAGTAGGGCTATGGCTCAAATAGTACAGTACTAACCCTGAGCAAAAGAAGCTCAGAGACAGCACCCAGGCTCTGGATTCAGGCTCTAGGACTGTGCGTGCGCATGCGTGGGACTCATCTCCAATAAACTACCCAGAAAAAGCAGAAAGTAGTGCTGTGGCTCAAATGGTAGAGCGCTGGCCTTGAGCCAAAGAAACTCAGGGATAGTGCCTAGGCCCTGAATTCAAGCCCCAGGACTGGTACCAGTGGAATGGGGGAAAGAAAGTCAATGGTGGTCCAGGACAGCTTGGAAAAAACAACCAAGACTATTCAAACCCCACAATCGTCGGGCACCAGTGGCTCACGCCTGTAATCCTAGCTACTCAGGAGGCTGAGATCTAAGGATCACAGTTGAAAGCCAGCCCAGGCAGGAAAGTCCATGAGACTCTTATCTCCAATAAACCATTAGAAAACCAGAAGTGGCACTGTGACTCAAGTGGTAGAGCGCTCCCCTTGAGCTGAAGAGCTGAGGGATAGCGCTCAAGCCCATAGTTCAAGCCCCACGACTGACAAAAAAGGGGGGGCTGGGAAGGTGGCTCAGTGGTAGAACGCTTGTCTTGCATGCTCAAGGCCCTGGGTTCGATTCCTCAGCACCACATAAACAAAAAGAAGAAAGCCGGAAGTGGCGCTGTGGCTCAAGTGGTAGAGCGCTAGCCTTGAGCTGAAGAGCTGAGGGACAGCGCCCAGGTCCAGAGTTCAGGCCCCACGACCGGACCCAAAAAAAAAAAAAAAAAAGTTTCACAGACTTTCCTTCCTGGGCTGGCTTTGAACCATGATCTGAGGATCAGCCCCTGAGTATCTAGGATTACAGGCCTGAGCCACTAGTGCCAAGTGTCTCCAAGACTCTTATCTCCAATTGACTGCCAAAAAACCCTGAAAGTGGAGCTGTAGCTCAAGTGGTAGAGTTCTAGCCTTGAGCAAAAAAGCTCAGGGACAGGCTAGGAATGTGACTTATTGGTAGAGTGCTTGCCTAGCATGAATGAAACCCTGGATTCAATTCCATAATACCACATAAACAGAAAAAGCCAGAAGTGGCACTAAGGCTCAAGTGATAGGGCACTGCTATCCTTGAGCAAAAGCAGCTCAGGGACAGAGCCCAGGCCCTGCGTTCAAGCTCCAAAACCCCCACCAAAAAAAAAAAAAGGCAATTAGTTAAGGTTATAAATTAATTGTAGAGCACTACCCTGGTATATATGAAGACTGTGTTTGAATCCCAACACCACACACACAGAGACATACCATTTAGAACATACTAGTTGCCATTTTCCTAGCTGTCCTCACATCTGAATCAATTCCTTTTTGTTTTGTTTTGTTTTTGTTGGTCATGGGGCTTGAACTCTGGGCCTGGGTGCTGTCCCTCAGCTCTTCAGCTCAAGGCTAGTGCCCTACCACTTGAGCCACAGTGCCACTTCAACATCTGAATCAATTTCTGCTTTGGCATCAATAGTTAATTCACCAAATGAATCTTTCTTTAGATTACAGGAACTATTCCTCAAATATGTATTTTTCTGAGTAGCAATTAAGGGTTCTGTACCAGCTAGGCTAATTAGAAAAACTGCTATCTTTGAGTCAAGTGCTGGTAGCTCATGCCTGTAATCATAGCTATTCAGGAGGCTGAGATCTGAGGATCAAGGTTCAAAGCCAGGCCAGGCAGTAAAGGCAGAGAGACTCTTATCTCCAATAAACCACTCAGAAAACCAGAAGTAGGGCAGTGGCTTAAGTGGTAGAGTGCTAGCCTTGAGCTGAAGAGCTAAGGGACAGCGTTCAGGCCCAGAGTTCCAGCCCCAAGACCTACCAAAAAAACAAAACAAAACAAAAACAAACAAACAAAAAAAACCCTGCTATCTTTGTAAGTCACATATAAAAAGATTAAGAGTGGGCTAGGGAAGTGGCTCAATGGTAGAGTGCTTGCCCTGCATGCAAGAGGTCCTGGGTTCAATTCCTCAGTACTACATAAGCAGAAAAAGCCAGAAGTGGCACTGTGGCTCAAGTGGTAGAGCACTAACCTTGAGCTGAATTGCTGAGGGACAGCACCCAGGCCCAGAGTTCAGGCCCCACGACTGACAAAAAAAAAAAAAAAGATTAAAAGTGTTCCAAGAATAACATAATCACAACTCAACTGGTAGCAGGAACAGGCTTTAGTTGTTTTGAAAAACACTGCTCTAGATGGTTTTTGAAAAGCCTGCTAAAATTATAAACTGTCCCACAATGATTAGGAACTAAGTTCTGTATTCTCCTAAACCCTTTTCCTGCCACATTCTTTCTCCTTAGTTCCTAGAGGTCAGAGTGCTAGAAAGAGTGCACTTCAAGAGGATTGGGACCAAATCTCAGGAGGCAGAGTAGCTTCCCAAACGGGTGCTAAAGAGTCTGGCAGTCTTCTTTTTTTTTTTTTTGGTGGGTCCTAGGGCCTGGGCATTGTCCCTCAGCCCTTCAGCTCAAGGTAAGTGCTCTAACACTTGAGCCACAGCGCCACTTCTGGTTTTCTGAGTGGTTTATTGGAGATAAGAGTTTCTTGGACTTTCCTGCCCTAGCTGGCTTTGAACCTCGATCCTCAGATCTCAGCCTCCTGAGTAGCTAGGATTACAGGTGTGAGCCACCGGCGACCGGCTCTGGTAGTTTTGTTGTGTGTGTTTTTTTACTTCATTCATTCATTCAACTACTATTACCTGAACTCCTAGAATGTGCCAAATACTATGCTAGACAAAGATGCTTTCGACCTGATATTGTCTATATATCCCACTTAAAAGTGTGCAAGTAAGAGTTGATTTATGACCTCTAAAATAAACTCAGAGAACCTCAGAATCCAATGGAACTGCAAGGAGATAAATGTCCTCACTTTTCACGTGGGGGCAGAGATTCAAGTGCCACGTCCAAGGTCACAGCGCATCAGTGTCAGATGAGAGCTAAAACCAGGGTCTCCTGCAGCTCCAACCTGGGCCTGGCGGGCGCCTCTCCCGGAGGAGAACGGGTGACAGACGGTGACAGGGGAAAAGCAAACCTCACCAAATAAGGCTCAACTGGCACGCCCTCCTCCAAGACAGCGAGAGGGGACCAGGCCGAATCAGGGGTCAGAGGAGACAGGCAGCTGCTTCCATTTCCCGGCAGAAATGGGCAGGGCAGCCCAATGGCCTCGCAAGCTCCCCTCTAGCACCTTCTTCCCGCTCCGCCTGACCCGCCTCTCCGATTCCAACCCGGAGACCCGGCATGCGACCCCCGAGAATTACTCCTGCACTCACAAGGACTCGCACCAGCAACGCCATGTTCCTCAGTAACCATTTCCGGGTGAAGGGTGGGCTTCCGGAAGACCCGCCGCCGCCACTACTTCGTCCTCGGCTCAAAAGACGTCGGGCGAGCACTGCGCAGGCGCGCGGCCGTCGCTGTGCGCCTGCGCGCACGCCCTCTGCCTAGGTTGCACTATTAGCTCCGCTTTTTCTTCTAATCCTGCCGCGCGTCACAGAGGTTCGAGTCCTCTCCCGGCGCGCGCCGCCTCGGTGACCTCGTCCTTTCACGTGCTTTTCCGTGTCCTCATCGGCTGTGCCCCTATACTCTGTAACCCCGTGTTAGTGCCACTTCTTTCCCGACCCCACGCACAGCACTCGTGTTTTCAATGAGGGCTGAAAAGAGCAGGATCTTGAAAAATCCCAATTTAAAAAAAGCGTGAGAAGAAGGCCAAGGATGTAAGCCCGCAGAGTCCTGAAAGTCAAGGGAAGAGGCTGCCACAGGCTGACCTGAAGTCTGACAGAATTCGGAGTTTGTGATTGGTTGGTTGGTAGTTTAATACGAGCATCTTTGAATGTTGGTCAGAAAGGGTTAAGAAAGATGAGCCTGCAGCAGGGCACGGTGGCTCTGCCGCTAATCTAACTACTGGAGCTCAGGGATGGTCGGATGGGATGGTCCTTTGGAGGTCAGCTTGGGCAGAGAAGCCCAACAGACTCAATCTCATGCTAGATACTAGGGAATCCTAAAATAGGAGGATTGTGGTATCCTGGTCTTGGTGCAGTGGTGTCAGAAGCTAGACCTATCTCAACCAACTCAAAAGGCTGGAGGCATGGGTCAGCCATAAATTCAAATCTTAATAGCTCCACCGAGGGGGAGAGGGGTGGCGGGGGAGGAGAGAACATAGTACAAAGAATCAAGAATGTGAGGAGTTTCCTGCTAGAGATTGGCCCTGGCCAGAGAACTCCTATTGTATTCCAAGAGAATCAAAAGAGAGAAGGTATGGATGCTGCAGGAATCTATCTGGAGAAGAGGGCCAGGATATTTCAGGGCTTCCTTTCCAAACTTAGCGAAGCCTCTGGAAAGGGTTTATTATGTATTCGACACAAGACACATGGACATTGGCTTTGTGGAACTCTTAAACCAGTGGGGAAGAGGGGTACTGGAAAATCTTTTCAACCAGTGGGGGGGAAATGAAAACTGTGAAAGTTGCTACAAGGAAAAACAATAAACACTGCATATACAGAATATTATGGGGTACTCACCACTTCTATGAGTTCAGCTTTTTTAAATTCCACATATAAACCGGGCATCAGTGACTCACACCTATAATCCTAGCTACTCAGGAGGCTGAGATCTGAGGATCATGGTTCAAAGCCAGCTTGGGCAGGAAAGTCCGTGAGACCCTTATCTCCAAAAAAATAAACCACCAGAAAACCAGAAGCAGCATTGTGACTCAAGTGGTAGAGTGCTAGCCTTGAGCTGAAGAGCTCAGGGACAGTGCCCAGGCCCACAGTTCAAGCCTCATGACCAACAAAACAACAACAACAAAATAAATTCCACATATAAGAGAGATGCAGTATTTGCTTTTTGGGGCCTGATTTGTTTCACAACATAATGTCATATGGATTCATCTGTGTTTTCATAAATGACAGAATTCCCTTCTTTTTCAGGCTGCAGAGTATTTCCTTATTAATGTAAGCAACATCTTCTTTATCCATTCATGTGGATAAACACTGAGATTGATTCTCTATCTTGACAACTGTGAACGTGGGAATGCAACTATTGCTTCAACATACAAATTTCATCTGTAGATATATAGTCAGTAGTGGTCAGGTAGTAGTTCTATTTTTAATTGTTTTAGGGATTTTCATATTTTTTCCATAATGACTGTACTCATTTACCTTCATAGCCACAGTATACAGGGTTCCTTTTTTCCACATCTGCATCAACATTTTTTGTTGTTGGTCGTCTTGAGGCATGAACTCTGGGCCTGGATGCTGTCCCTGAGCTCTTTAACTCGGTCAAGCCCTCTACCACTTGAGCCATAGAGCCACTTCTGGTTTTCTTGTGGTTAATTGGAGATAAGAGTCTCATGGACTTTCCTGCTCATGCTGGCTTTGAACTGTGGTCCTTAGATCTCAGCCTTCTTTTTTTTTTTTTTTGGGTCCGGTCGTGGGGCCTGAACTCTGGGCCTGGGCATTGTCCCTCAGCTCTTCAGCTCAAGACTAGCGCTCTACCACTTGAGCCACAGCGCCACTTCCGGCTTTTTTCTTTTTGCTTATGTGGTGCTGAGGAATTGAACCCAGGGCCTCAGGCATGCAAGGCAAGCGCTTTACCACTGAGCCAACTTCCCAGCCCCTAGATCTCAGCCTTCTTAGTAGCTAGGATTACTGGCTGAGCCAGTACTGGTGCCCAGCTTCAACATTTTTGTAGTAGTTTTTTTCTAATAGGTATAAAGTGATAGCTCATTATATATTTGTTTTTGTCTGTACTGGGGTTTGAACTCAGGGCCTCACATTTGCTAGGCAGGCAGTCTAATATTGAACTACCCCTCCAGCCCTTTATTGCATGTGTGTGTGTGTGTGTGTGTGTGTGTGTGTGTGTGTGTGCGTGTGTGTGTGTATGCTGGTCCTAGGGCTTGAACTCAGGACCTCTGCTCTACTACTTGAGCTACAGCTCTACTTCCAGCTTTTTGGGTACTTAATTAGAGATAATTGTCTCACAGACTTTCCTGGCTGGATTGGCTTCAAATTATGATCCTCAAACTATGATACTCAGCCCACTGAGTAGCTAGAATTACAGGCATGAGCCACAGGTGCCTAGCTCAGAACTAGTTATTTTTGAGATAGGATCTCACTTTCTGTCCAGGTACACATTAAGGCTGTGATCCTCCTCTTTCACAATTCCTACTGTACCTGGGTTGACAGGCACACACCACCATTCCCAGCTTATCAGTTTGAAAAGGACTCTCATACCAATTTTGTCTAGGCTGGTTTTGAACCAAGATCCTCTCAATCTCAGGCTCCCAAGAAACTAGGATTTTAGGTGTTAGCTACTGCCTCAAACTTCATTATGATTTTAATATTCATGTCCTTGGTGATTAATGACAAGCATTTTCCCATATGTATGCTGGCTATTCATATGTCTTCTCAAAGGAATGTCTATAATTTTCATGGATCTTTTTATCAGTTTTGTTTTTTGTTTTTGTCATGGGGCCTGAACTCTTCAGCTCAAGGCAAGCACTCTGCCGCTTGAGCCACAGCTCCACTTCCAGTTTTCTAGTGGTTTATTGGAGATAAGAGTCTCACAGACTTTCCTGCCCCGGCTGGCTTTGAACCATGATCCTCAGATCTCAGCCTCCTGAGTAGCTAGGATTACAGGCATGAGCCACCAGCACCCGGCTTTTTATCAATTTTAAATTGAATCATTTATTTTCTTGCTATTGAGTTATTTCAGTTCTTTTTATATTTCAGTATTAACTCCTTACTAGATACATGGTTTGCCAATATTTTCTCAAATTTCATAGGTAGTCACTCTGTTGATTGTGTCCTTTGTTGTACAGCTTAATGTAATCTAATTGGTCTATTTTTGCTTTTGTCACTTATTCTTTTGTGATCGTTTATTTTTTTAATGTCATGTAGCTTTTCCCCTACTCTTTTTTTTGTTTGTTTTGTTTTGCTGGTCCTGGGGCTTGAACGCAGGGCCTGCCTTGGCACTGTCCCTGAGCTTTTGCCCAAGGCTAGTGCTCTACCACTTGAGCCACAGTACCACTTCCAGCTTTTTCTGTTTATGTGGTGCTGAGGAATAGAACCCAGTGCTTCATGCATGCTAGGCAAACACTCTACCACCTCTACTCTTTTTTCTAGAAGTTTTAAAGTTTCTGATGTTTAAGTCTTTAATAAATGTTTATTTTAATTTTGTATGTGGTATGAGGTAAAGATCTACTTTCACTCTTCTTCATATAGGAATCCAGTTGTGCCAGCACTGTTAAAGAGACTTTTCTTTTCTCATTTTCATATTCTCGCACCCTTGTCAAAGATCAGTGGATGGAGCCAGGCACTAGTGACTCACAGCCACAATCCTGATAACTCAGGAGCTGAAATCTGAGAAACTTAAAGTCAGCCCAGGCAAGCTAATGGGAACAATCCTTTTCTCTCTCTCTCTCTCTCTCTCTCTCTCTCTCTATATATATATATATATATATATATATATACACTCTGGGCTTGGACACTGTCCCTCAGCTCTTCAGCTCAAGGTGAGCACTCTACCACTTGAGCTACAGCGCCACTTCTGGTTTTCTGGTGGTTTATTGGAGATAAGAGTTTCCTGGACTTTCCTGCCCGGGCTGGCTTTGGACTCTGATCCTCAGATCTCAGCCTCCTGAGTAGCTAGGATTACAGGCGTGAGCCACCAGTGCCCAGCTGTTTAATATTTTTTTATTGTAAAGATACTGTACAGAGGGGTTACAGTTACGTGAGCAAGGTAATGAGTCCATTTCATATCAGGCATTGTTACACCCTCCTTTGTTTTGGGAAAGATCCTTATCTCTAATTAATGAGCAGAAAGTCAGAAGTGGAGATGTGGTTCAAGTGGCAAATCACCAGCCATGATATGAAAAAGCTAAGCAGGAGTGCAAAGTTCAAGCCCCAGTATCAGTTCAAGCCTCAGTATCAGTACCAAAAAAAAAAAAAATCAATGAACAGGGAACCAAATATGAAGCTCCTTGGTAGAGCACTTGCCTAGCATATGCACAGCTTAAGGTCAATCCCCAGGACCTCATGGTAGTGCATGGTAGTGCATGCCTATGGTGAAAGCTACTCCAGATACAACACTATGTTATATTAGTCAGCTTTTCATTATTATAATGAAGTCACCGAGGCAGACCAACTTTGCTAAGAAAAAAGGTTTCTTTATCTCACAGTTTTGGAGGCTTAAGGGCAATGGCACTGGCATTGAATCATTTCTAGTGAAGCACCTCCTAACTGTGTCACGGTGTATAGCAATGAAGGAGCACATGCAGGAGCTGGTGTGGGTGCCAGTGATCACATTGCCAAAAGGAAGACAGAGATTGCCAGGTGAAACCAGGCAACGG